CTTCAACCTCCAAATACAGAAACACTGTTTGAGCACCCCGAGCTGCAATTCAGACTGTTTAAACTATTTCAGTTCAGAAGAACTACTCAATCATGAAACCCCCAAAACTCTTTTAGCTTCAGGCCAGATACCACTTCATTTGCAAGAGCCTAACTCTGAACAAGTCTTAACAGAAGAACTTCAATCTGCATAAAAAATAATTCAACATTATCAGCCAACACATATTTTCATGCAAGTTATGTCAAATTTAAGCTGCTGCCTCATCCATTATTTCTGAAGAGCTCCCTTTTCCTCTGCAGTGTTCCTCTTTTTAACATATATAACTTATTTTTCTACAGAGATGAGTAACTTACCTGCATTTAACCTGCCAACACTATTGGAAAAAGAAGCAAACAACCAAGCCAACCATCTCTCCCATCACCATATCTGCAAACAAGTTATTCAAATTCAGCAGAGAGAACAATTTTCATTAGGAAAGCACCTGTTCCTTGTTCTACAAAATTTCACTCACCTTGTGTGAAAATATGCACCTAACATCACCGCTCCCTACTACGGCCCGTGGTTAGAGCAAACATCTAGCTGAAGACCACGAGCTCAGATGCTACCCTACAGCCTAAGAACTGGAAACACCTGGAAGCTGTTAGGGCAGCTGTACTGAGATGCAGCAAACCAGGCAATGCTTATTTTCCATCCCTGTGGTTCTTTACAGAACGTTACAGCAAGTGCTCAGCAACACGTCCTCTTGCCACACACTGTGACCAACATACGTAATAAGCACTATGGCCCCTCTCTCCTAGGCAAGCTGTGGGGTGTAGATAGTCTTGCTGGTCCTATGGCAGACATCAGCAGAGGCAGCTACAGGTTAAAGTGTTGCTGCTGACTACGGAATGGCATAGCTGCTTGCATCAGAGTTTCTTTCTATGAATGCATTAATTTTTAAATTAAGATTGCATATAATTTCTTCCCTATGCTTTTGTGAAGAGATGTGCTGCAGGCAAAGCCTGTATTACCATAATGATTATATTAGCATGTAATTAAGAGGCTCATAATATACCTAAACTGAAGAAGCTGAGGATGCTTAGGCCACAAGGCATCACTGGATCTTCTTAATGGTGCATTATTTACTTACAGATTTCATCTGTAAATTTCAGGAAATTCTGTAGACACTTGCCCATTCTGAAGGCAGCAAAACACAAACACAGAAAGCTGAAAATGACTGAAAAAGTAAAGGAGCCTCAAACAGAGACGGCTTTTCCAAGTGCTAAATAGACATTATTCACTAAACAGTACGGTTCTCACAGCCATGGGCTTTCCAGTCCTTCTTTCCTCCACCTCTGCACCTTCACTGCACAGGAGAATCACAGAATATACAGGTATAAGAGTCCAGTTCCCACTGAAATGTTGACTCTACTTCTGGTCATCCAGCAGGCTGGGTGAGTCTATGATCAACTCCTGTTGTTAGGGGGAGGAAAATGAAAGGGGGAAAATGCATCTCTGATGATGAGGTTGCATAAAAACTCACTCGACCAAACAAGGTGGAGAATTGCTTACAGGGCTGATCCTTCCTCTCTCATTTACGCTGGTACCAAAGAAGAGTATTTTTGAGTTACAGGAGAATGGAAATGGAATACCACTTACTTCTTTACAAAAATATTTCACTAAAACTGAGCTGCCTGTCACTTACTGGTAAGTCCACAATATGCTTGTTTCATAAAATTCTGCAGATTTGTCCCTGGGTCAGAGAAGTGCAGAAGACCCAATGTTTATTTTCAGACTTTTGTCAGTACGGATTTTGTAACACAGGGAAGAGAATTTTGCAAAGTCTCTTAGTTTTGGGAGTTCTTAGTATCAATCTAAAGCAGTTAAACAAGCAGGTTTTGGAAGAAGATAAGTAAGGTATAACAACTTGAAAAAGATTTGGGCTTTTTAAAAATGGAATTCCTAGTCCCATTTAATTTACTGTTACTTGGGTTTCCAATACTGGATGATTCTCTCAAGCCCACAAATGGAACTTCCCCACTCTGCCAGTCCCAGCCTCCCCTATTTCACAGTAGCCAACAAACCACAGAAATCCACTTAGTCCTTGGGTTCTTTTTAGCCGACAAGGTTTCTCGGAAGCTGGTGACAGCTCTCGTATTTCTGTAAAGTTACAATACAGCAACGTGAAAATTCCATAAAGTTGCACAATTAATGAAGTATTATGAATACATTTAAAGCTAAGAACACAATATATACACGAGGTGCCCCAGGTATGTGCCAACACTACCTCGTGCAGAATGAGCTGCTCTGTCCATTTGGGATACAAGGATCTGAACTATGCACCTATTGCGTGGGAGCAAGGCAGATTTGCCATCTCTACCTCTTCTCCATCAATCCTGTGGTTATAAAATGCACCGAGAACATCACATGGGGAACCACCTCCTCCTACAGCTGAGACAAGTGCCTAAATTCTACCCTTTTCCTTTCTCCTGCTGACAATCACAGAATGGTTTGGGTTGGAAGGGACCTTAAAGATCACGTAGTTCCAAGTACTGCATTTTCTGGTATATGAAGGGTCAGGTTTAGACTATCTGATTTGCCATGTTGGCCAAATTCTACCTCAGTCTTCCTGATATTATTAAAGAGCATTTTGAATTTCTAGGGGTTCTGTCCCTACTTACTACAGCAACTACCCAGCCATTCTACAGCACTCCCATTTGAAGCTGCATCCTTTTCCCACTGAAAATAAACTATTATTAATCCTTTCAAAGAATCCATGAATGGCAAAAGCATTGAATGGCAACTGAATTACTCTTTATGCCTTTCATACACGGTATATAAACGTCACAGTTTAATAGGGAGAAAGTAACTGTTGACACACAATAATTACATATAATTTCATAAATTATATGATATGTGCAATTTAGTGTTTTATTAAACAAATACAGTAGCTACCCAAAATCTAATTGCTGATGATGGGAAATTACATTAAAGCCTATGTTACTATGGTAATTATTAGTCATCTGAAATGATATATGCCCTAAAACATAATGCAGAAAATTATCTTCCTGTGAAATAAGAAATACAATAGAAATAAAGTTAAGGAACATGTTTATTTTGGAGCTTTCTGCAAGCAAAATTGCTTTGATACAAAATGAGTTCAATGATACAGTGCTACCATCCACTCAAGCAAAAGAAAACCTCACATTTACATGAATGCACTTTATACTTATATTCTTACAGAATAATAGTTCAGATATCCAGAATGTGTCTGGCCTCATCGAAAGCAATGGCACAGAAATGCTGCAAGGTATTGGAGTATCTATCATATTACTGGCGGGTGCTTAATTACCTCTGTGAGTTCTCTGAGAGATGCTGTATAAATAAGGGAACTGTGAATGTGGGTTTGTATTCCTTAGTAGTTCTGACATATGTCCTTTAGTGTTTGTTTAGTTAGCTCAAAATGTGTAATTGTGTCTTTTGGCTTTTTAGTATCCGCTTTTTCTTTTTTTGAAGAAAAATCATGAGGTATCCTTTACCGTTAACTAATGACATAGTGACAGGTCTATTTTATTCAGGTTGCAGAGACTTACTGTACATTCAGTACACTGTACATTCGGCAACTATTTTTTAGTGTACTTTCTACACATTACTGTGTACAACTGTTAGTTTACATTAAAACTCTTGCCCCTTCTCACAGGATACGGCATAAACAAAAACAAATCTGACAAAAATTATACACATAAAATAAGAAGACAAATACACAAATAAGGCCATCCGCAGAATTAAAAATCCACCTCTTGCGATATTTCACAATAATTTCTACATAATATTTTACATCTTATGAACTTAAATACTTAATGCAAAAGTAAAAGACCTTTATGGAGCCAATCATATTATCTCTTCAAGGACTTGTCCAATTTGCTGGCTAGTGGCCTTCTCTGGGGAGTTGGAATTTTAGAAGGCTTGGCTGATCCTGGCCGAGAACCTGCTCGGGGTGTCGCTCTACTTGTAGCAGGAACAGTCTCTGACATATCTGAGCACACTGACTGGATTTCTGAAATGTCAAAGTCAGATGCGTCACTGCCTCGGCGGCTACTTGACCTGCTGCCAGCCTTGCTTCCTGCTCGGCTTCCAGGCCTGCTTGGAGTTCTTCTGGTTTCTAGAAAGAGAAAAAGATATCCACCAATCTTAGAAGTAAGGATGGACAAGGTGTGCAGGTCTCTCCTAGGTCTTTGGCAACCCCAAAAATTGCTCATTGCAGAAACCAAACTTTAGACCTCTGCCAGAGAAGCTGGATGATGATCAAAGTTCATCTCTGTATTAAACAAGAGCATAAAACAATGCCGTATCTCCCACTGAAGAGAAGAATATGTGAGATCAAATGATGAGATATAGTTAATTTGTCACTAGCACATCTCATTAAAAATGTATTATATGGGCAACTTGTACTGACTTACTAGATATGTATACCCACTCAGCAGCCAGATCCGTTCTTTCCCCTGCCATTTTCTCAGCTATGAATTGAAAGAATCCAGTATCTGGCCTCTCCAGGCATTCAGAATTTCCCAATGTACGTACCTTGGAGATGCAGATGAATATCCCACTTTTTAAATGTGTACCACTCTTCTTTAAAAAATTCAAAACCATCCAATTGAAAGCTGCAAGTAAACAAGTATACATTCTCCCAAACAAAGGGCTGACTAAATGAGCTCTCAGCAAGCCTGCTAGAGTGAAAGCCTGCCCAGACAATGTGCCATCAAGAAAAAACCACAACAAAGAAACTTAAACAGAAAAACATTACTGTGGTTTTTCATTATTTTCCAATTACTTATTGAGTCTTTTTAATCTTGACAAATCTGCTTCCCTGTATGTGTAAAGAACTCAAAGTTGAAACTGAAATCTCAGGTGGCTCATTTTGCAAATCACCTATAACTTAAAAGATACCTCTTCTTTGAACAGGATTTTCCAGTACTGCTCAGGATGCTCTGCAGAGTTTAAGATGTGAGGGAAAGCCAGTAGAGCTATCTTCTATTTTAACCATTTAGCCCTCTCTCTTACACAGAGCTGCTCTGAGGAGCCTGGAAGAGCACAGCTTCACTGCTTTCTATTTTCATATACGGTTTTAAAAAATCTCTACGGGATATTCCATTAATAAGGTCATCTAAGGCTGCTCCCTGCAGTTCTTCTTCCAAAGGAAACAGACAAGTCGTGACCCCTGTGCTCCATCACAGTGGAGCATAACTTGAATACTGTAAAGAACTAAATCCTTTCTTTTTAAGTAAATGCTTCTTCTCTAGTTCCTTAGGCAGATACACTGGAGGTACCATTGTCAAGAAGGTTGCAGTCATGAATTTGCACATCCAGAGTGGAATGTACCTGCTGTGCAACCACGTGAATGGAGGACCATTATCGTGATTATGTGCACCCTTGGCAGTACTAATGTGGAGAGAGGGGAACTTTCACTCCTTCCCACTCTTCTGACATACCCCTCACACCCTAATGTGACCCTAAAAATTCAGGTGGAAAACAAAGCAAGTGGTAGTTCAAGCTCTAAAATCAAGATACTCACCTGCAAACTGAGCTCTAACTCTGGTGGCTGCTGTTGACAGGATGCCACTGTCTTCTCCAGAGTGGAAACCCTTCCCTGATAGATATCCTGGCATTCTGAGTTTACTTCCTTGAATTGGTGTTCCCTATTACAAAAAAACCAAAACATAAAAACCAAAAACCCCAAAACCCCAGGTTTTTTAATTGTCACTACTGAAGATAAGGTCTGCTATTAGGCAGCACATAGCTACTTAGAATATGATCATCAAAATAACATTCACTGTAAATCTGAAATACTGGCTTGAGACACTAGGGACATTTTAATGATGTGAAGTTTTGAACATTTCTTTAGCAGTCAGTATTTGAAGTAGTCCAAATGTAAACCAACAACAACAACAAAATCATTTTAACAGTCTGCTTCACATTAAAATTTTAGCATTCTTTGTGTATATTTCAATGCATATAAAGAAAGAAAAATGCTACCTTCTTACAATTAGTCAAGCACATAAGATTAATTGATGGTACATGTTTTAAATAAACAGAGACAAGTAGTTGAGGTTTTATGTCCGCATAGTTTGTCTTTCCAACATTCTGATTGTGGTTTAGAGGGTGGTAAATGCCTTTGTTTCAATTTTTTTAATATTTTGATGGTAAAAAAACCCAAAATTTCCAAAACTTTGCTAGAAAAAAGCAGAAAAAAAAAGACATAGGACTAATTTTAAAAGTTCTTGTTGTCAATACATCGTCCGAAATATCTCTTCTCCATAGTCTTACCCTGCCTGCTTTCTCATTTCTGTTTTGATTTACAATCTAGCCCAAATGGAAAGATTTCTTTCAAAGTCACAAGAATTAAATCCTTAAATCTCAAAATGCATGCAGCATACTAGAGAGGAGGCACATGAAAGTAAGAGGAAAACTATAGTATTCATATTGATTTAATCAACACAAAAATACTAAGTAAATACCCCAAAAGAAGAACAAACACTGCAGTGATGAATACAGCACGTTGATTGGTCTGGATCCCAGCATCCTGTGTTCTGTGCCTTTGATCCCCATACCATGGTGGGGTAGAATTAGGTACTGAAAACCAAGATCCAGGAGTGTTGGGAGCTGCCTAGAGCTAAACACCAAGCAGAGGCCCAGCAGGAGCCTGTCTGGCAGCTGCCCACTCCCAGCACTTCTGGCACATCTGAACAAAAGAGCATTGAGATGCTACACAGCCGACAATCTGCTGGCTCTGACGGGGACAGTCGCAACGTTAAACTCTCTTTAAAGCCAAGCACAAATGCTCAATGTCCAGCCAGTCACATCTTGGAAATCTCTGCTACACAGAGAGATTGCTTGTGAGGACAAGGAAAAAAGGAATGCTCTCCATTACCCCCACTGAAGCTGCAGCACTTAGGGCAAGGCATTGGGATAGAAACACTGGTGCAAAAAGAAAAAAAGGTCAAGCTTGTTCTTTAGCTTAGCCCTAAACCCACATGTAGTTCTATACATAAAATACATAACCACTGTCTTGGACAGAAAATGCTGCAGAATGCCTCAGAAATTCACTGCAACCTACCCCAACCCCACTTGTTCCAATTATAATCTTAAACCATGGTGGTTTATGTAGAAGAAACTCACTGAAACTACTGGCAGCTGAAGAGCAGGTGAGAAATACGGTGCTCCCCTTTGAAATCAATGCCAACTGATTTAACTTCAGTGTAATTAAATGAAAACAGCACCTTTCCATGTCTATAAACCCTTTAAAGTACCATCAATTAATCTTACAATTCAGTTACCAGCTAAGAGATGAAAGAAAATACAGGAGTATATTAGAAACTGACAATGGACTCAACTTTGTCCTACTGTTAATCATTCTAAGCAACAGCCTCGTGTGCTTAAAGTGCTGTACACATCCATACACACATCCATCCTGTAGTGTGCACAGGTAACACACTCACATAGGAGGAGGGAGGAAAAAGCTTGTTTATGCATCTCTGAGCAAAGCCACGCCAACGTCATGTAAGCTTAGCACCGGAGGGTGTCACGTGAATAGCAACAGGCATCAGAGTGCAGGTTTGTGAAAAGCAGATGCAACAAAGGTGACGGTAGCACAAGCGTCCCCTCACTGAGCCCTCCGTCTAACCCAGGGCAAGAGGAACTCCTACAAGTGACGACTCAGTCTGCAGCCTGATCCAGCTGCAATCTTTTCATTGACTGTAATGACATGAGAGGAGACACTTTGAACTTGAACCCCATTTAAATTTTGGTCATACAGCTTGATTGCTGGCACAATCCTGAGTGCTATACTAGCAGTTTCTATGTAAGTCATGGGCTGAAAATAAGACCAAAGCTCGTTTCCTGTTAAGTCATCAAATACCTATCTTATTAGAGCAACGACTGGTCACTGCCCCCCTAAACGAAACTTTCAGTTGGTGGTAAGATTTATATATCACAGTCAGTCTTTTGTGCAATCTTCTTCACAGTTACTGGGTATTTCTCTATTTAGTGGTTTTGCACTGGAGATCACGATTTATTCATCTCACTCCGGTAGTTCATGAACATTACAGTACATTATGAAAGTAAACAATTTTAGGAGAGAAACCTGCAAAGTATAAGAACTGCTTTATTTTTTTTAAAAAAGGTATTTTTCCACATTTGCTCATCCAATTCATTGCAAACTGTTATGATTTATTAACCATTTGCACTTTAAAAATAAATTCATTGAGGCCGAGTTTTCCTAAAACTCAAAAACTGTAACAAAAAGAACATCAAAAAACAAACAAAAAAAAACAACAAAAAAACTTGGGGGAAGAAAGAAGTAATTTAACAAAGGTCTAAAATAAAGACAATGCATTAATATGCAAAGGATGCTGCAGCTCTGAAGCACTGAAACTCTAGTGGCTGTTAGTGAAGTGACAGTTTTAGTGAAGGAAGGTCATTAGACTAGAATCTCTGTCCTTACTGTACCTCTGCAGAAGACCCTTGATAGTCTGAGGATTCTGGTGGCTTAGAAGGAGTTGACGTTTTGCTGTTTGTCAACCATGGTTTACCATAGTTGCGTGTTAAATGATGGGGTGTCTGTATGAAACAATGGTAAATCAAAATATGAAGGACAGTAGATGGAAAACAATGTAATGGAGAAGGATACCCAGGCTTTCATAGGGACATCAAATGCCACTGTAGAAATAAAAACTAAGCAGAAAGAGCTGATGACAAATGTTCTGAGACGAAGAGACAGCAGAGCTTATTTTTTAAACAAAACACTGAAGTCCATTGCTTTTTCAGAGTTTATTCCAAAACTCCCATTTAGCTCATGCAGCACCTTAAATGTAAAGAATTATTCTCTTCCCATGTTGCAAACAGACAGTAGAGGAAATACACTGAAAATACTTCTCAGATCCTCCCCAGACTACGAAATAAAATTGAGATACTTCTTCTCTATCAGCTAGAGAAAGCGTGAATATTGTTGGAGCAAGAAAAAAAAAATAAAAATCTATACCCCATTTGTTAACCAGTTTAGTTTTATACCTTTCTCCTTACCTTTGGCGTGCTTGTAGCAACTGCTTGTGGGGCAGCTGCCTGGCCAGCTTGACTTGACAGAGAAGTAGATCTGTTGGGAGAAGCACCCCTTGAAGAGGGTCGTGATCTACGGCCCCTTGGTCGGAAAGCTGCCATGCTCTGACTGGCACCATCTGCCAAAATGAACTTTTCACGCAGCTCCATATTCGTCCTCCCTTTAGCTGCAGCAACGAAAGGTGTTCATTTAGTCAGATAAAATTGTCACAAGGCTGTTTATTGTCATTTTTGCCATGCCAACTCCAACACATTTTAACAATAAATAAAATGCATTACTGCCTAATGCATTTATTTTGGACACAGAAGAGTTATGTGCAGAACTCGCTTATTCTAATACTTTATGCCAGCAGGAAAAGGAAGTCAGCGTGATAATGGAATGCTCAACGTGCTAAATCACTGTTAATCAATCAACTATTAATACAGAGACACAACCCGATGAGCAGCTTTACAAACTCTACAGCTACTCATAATAAATAATACTTGCTTAGATGTTCCAAGAAGAAATTGCTAAGTACAAATTACAGGAAAGCAACAAATATATTTATTCAAAACTATGAAGTTATGTAGAGTTTGGCAACATGCAATGGATGAACACAAAATCCAAACTATGATGAGGTAATTGGAGGCTAAGCACTCACACACACATAAAAACACACATATGAGAGAATGTTTCGCAAGAATAGATGCAAGACATGTTACCATTTAACTGTGTCAGTGTGAATGACAATTGTTTTTGAAACACTCTTCAAGCGTATCAAAAAAAATTAGCTTGCAAAGCACCAGCCCATGTAGGAACACATTAAGCTAAATGTGATGGGTGAAGCGTATTGTTAGAAGTATATGTATCAAAAAAGAGGGAAGGAAATGAAGAGAGAGGAGAAGAGGAGGAGAAGGAGACAAAGAGAGGGGTTTGCCAACCTATAGTAGGCTGAGTGGTAATTGAAGAGTTTGATTCCGAACGTAACATTTTACTCCCGTGATGATGAACTAGAAAAAATGACACAGGACATGGGTCACATTAAAGAAAATCGTTAGCAGGAGAAGAAATCAAGTACAGCAGCTGCATATGCAAGAGACTCAGAGCACCAGGCCAAAAGACAGGACTTGGAGCACAAGCTGTCTCTAAGTGCTCTGAGGTGAGTTCTCAAAGATCTCCTAGGCAAAAAGGAAATAGTGCTTGGACAGACTCAGCTGCAGTCCCAAGCAGACTTGTGTAACGATGCTACTTATCTGCTGACATAAAGAAGTGATATAAACTAAAACCATTTTATATGACTAGGCCAAATACTTTTAAAGTTGTTTATGACAACAATTCTTTGCAATGTAATTTATCTGAATACACATGAAGCCCTCGGTGGAAATGCAGATTTGCTAGGTGAAGTGCTCAAAGAAAAGTCTGAACCTGCAACACTGACATCAACAACTACTTTGCACCACTAACTTCAACAAGACAAGGATTAGGTACCAAGGCACAGTGCCTGGATGATGCAATTGACATCAGTACTCCTTTAGACCCACTGTGCCGACTTACTCATCTGCTCATGTACTTCCCATGAAAAAGGGATTAAGTACTGTAGCAAATACTACAGAGATACACAGAATACAAGGTGTATTAAAGAAGACGAGATAAAGTTCCAAAGCACTTTTAATCTGAGGACAGCAATAAGGAATTCCAAGAAATTAATTAGTTAGTAGGTATTGTATCTGTCACTGTCAACCCAAGTAGGAATTACAACAGTCTACCTGTCAATGGGCCTGAGAAAAATGTTTGGGATACATCAAAACTAACCAAGGTAACCTCCAATGAAGTCAGTTATTTTGAGACCTATCTCATTTCCCACTACCCTGCACTTTTGAGGAACAGGAGTAAACTAAGGATGGCTCTGCAGACACAAGTGACTCTGCTACAGTAGGAGATCCAGAATCAGGTGCTAAAGTTAGGCCTGCGGTTGAACACCAATAAATGTAGTATTACTGTCAAATGTATTTAATAATAATATATGCAATATGTTGGTAAGCAAAAGGACTACTTTTTAATACTGCTGAAAAAGTCCTAGATGTCATCAAAAGGTTATGACACTTCTTTTATGATCCTATGAGAAGTTTTATGTTTTATGAAGTTTTAAGCCTGTAGACAAAGGTTTCTAGGCCTTAGTGGCACACTCCATCAGCCCTTACAGAGTTCTGTGGTAGCTTATTTTTCGATTTAACATCCTTGTTTTAGCATGACAACTGCTACAAATGCGAGCTGTCCACCCTCTCAAGGTCTGTACTGAACTGCTTAGAAACCTTGGTCAAATGTGTGAGACAGGTGACATGGGAGGTGACAGTTGATCTCTCTCTTGTGAAGAGTTCCCTTGCCTTTCCTGAACTCCCCTGTGCTATTCTTGCGCTATTACAATATTGATTATAATTCTACAGAACCCCTGAGAGGTAAATCGCAGTACATTTAATACTGATAGTCAAAAGGATAGAATTACCTAGTTACAGAATGTTTCTTCACACAGTCATTATTATACTTTCCGCAATTTTACTACTCTGGCTATTATCTGACTTGCATCTGTCCCACTCCCTTCACAAACAGTTTCTTTCCTATCTCCAACTGTTCCTCCAAGAACAGTGCCAGACAGAGCCGATCTTCCCAACAAGCTGAGATGTCATTACTCTGTACTGACAAAACAACACATTTGGTACAATGCTCTGGTGGGCACAGTGACCGAGTGCTCCCTACTTCCCCAGGGCACAAAGTCCTCCTGACCAGAGCATTTTCCACTTGCTTTATACAAGGCTCAGGGCTCTACGAAGTGGTTCTGGGGAGAATGCCAATGAAAAGACAGGACTACAAGGGCAGAGCCTGAAAGCCTGGGTGCAGCCACTGGCCAGAGAAGTTTTTTGCATTGTTGTTGTTGTTACTCTTCGAGTCAATTGCCTTAATTTGATTTATTGCCTTAAAACTTCTCTCTTGCTGAGAAGGTTTTGTTGGACATTTCTCTGTGCTGTTTCTGCCAAGTCATACAAGCAGCTTATACGCCATAAACTCTATCTGGGCTAAGTTCAGTTCTTAATTACACCACTGTAATGCTGGAGGAACTGCGCAGAAGACACCACAGTTACTCTAGACATACATCACTGCAAGTGAAGAGAATCTTAACCATGTGATTTAAACTTTACAAAAACAGATCATTACATGACATTTAGTGAGATGATGTTTACAGAACTGGCATTTTATACAACTCAATCTCCATCTTGAGACAATGAATGGTGACGGTATCCAAATAATTATCTGCACGTCCATTTTAACAGTTGTGTTACATACCCCTGCAAGGATCATTTTTCACCAAGAACTCATCGAGTGCCATCCAGCCACCTCCAACACGAACCATGACTGTGCTTCTTAGGATACGAACAAGGCGCAGTTGTTGAGAGTCACCAAACTGCAATAAAAATCAAACAACAGTCTGAGGTTCTCATTCATTCAGACGCAGTTCAACGCTGATAGGTTAAAAATCAGATACTTTAAAGTTTATTTTGATATTGAATTATTAGTAAACGCTAAAAAAAATCAGATTTATTTATGCAGATTATTAAAGCTGTTAAGATTTCAAATCAGATGCTGCTGCATTAATCCAAAGGAGATGGCAGGATGTTAAGAAAGAATCTCAGGTTTAATTTTATGCTTGATTCTCAAATGTCTGAGCTCATAAAGGAAGCAAAATTAGTAACATATTATTTAATTGGTTACAGTCTGTGTTTGTGCAAATTAATGAAGACCTATTTGCATTATTTCACTGCTAAAATCTTAAAACTCTCTTCTGCAACAGCCTAGTGTTTAATTATGTCAGCTGAAAGGAACAAAGCATCGCTTCATATATCAGTATGTGGGCTGGAGATTCAATATAATTATGAGTGTTGCACAGTTCTATTAATACCAAAATATAATTTACAGGGATATTTTCAGGTATAGTGTTGATACTGCTCACCTATAGCAAGGTGCATGCAGGGAAAGGAACATTAAAGAAGCAGCGAATGACTGATAGCTATCACTATTGTCCTTTGTTATAAACTGTTTGTCTCTCCTGTCTACACATTGAGGTTCTTCACAATTCAGAGATGCACAAAAACCTGTTTCATACTAACTTGTACTGGCCCATTCTTCCTTTGGGCTGATGGCCAGGTCTAACATATGTTTTGCTCTTGAAACCTGTGTAACAAAACCTTTATGCACTATCTCTATTCAAATCCAAAGAAAACATGACCAAAACGTTGACCCCACGATCTCATGAAAACTAACCAGAAGAATTCAGTACTTTTTAGCTGATGCCACTAAAATATTTATTTTTATATCAGACCATCAGGCCAAGTGTAGTGCTCTCACACGCAAACATGCAGAGCACTCACTGTAACCAACAGGACTCAACTACACCTCCTTGGGACAACCTCTGGCCCTTGGAGAAGGCTGGCCATAGTTCAACTGTACCTACTTGCTCCAGTGAGGGGACAGAAATGCTTTAAATGCAAACCACACAAACGTGCTCCCTGCTTGTTAAATCACTTTAGTTGTTTGGCACTACTTAAGCCAAGAAAAGAGAACAAGTTTAAAGGAACATTACTTTTAGGAACCAAACAAAAGCAAAGCTTGCCATTTAATTCAATAATTTTTTTGTTATAAATAAGAACATTCACATGAGCATTATTTGTAAAGGCTTTTAAATAATGCAATCAGTATGTGCTGAACAAAGAACTGTTTTACATATGTAGATCAAAGTTAAAAAGAGAAATGGCGTCCAAATTGATGTAGTTTATTTTCATTGGCTTGTTTCTCAGGAGAATTTTTTCTAGAGGTTCTAAAGATCCTCTCTTTTTTCTTTTCTCGGTTTAATACTTCAGTTAGACTCCATCAGGCAACTATACCAAGGGTGAGACACACTTTGGAAATTGCTTAGGCTGTGGTTAATTCAGGCAGTGGGACTTCTGGAACGCAACACAGGTATCTATCACGGCATTTTTCCTAATGGTAATTCAGTCCATTTCCTTGGATATCAACTTTCCTTGAACAACATTTAACATTGTTTCAAATAATCAGAGGTAAAAACACTAGGATAAAACATAAAGGAAGTCTAGTTTAAGCTACAAAACTGCCTGTTCTTGACAACAGCCATACAACATCACTGTCACTAGAGAAGCCTCAGCCAACTTGCTGTACGTGCTTTGATCTAGGATGCTGTTCTGCACCAGTAAGAGTTGGACGCTTTCAAAAATTATTGTTTTTCCCAGATCTGAGAGTACAGATGGCAGATAAGAGGATTAACATAATTTCAAATAGTCTTTTCAAATAGAAGCTTGTTCTATATGTGGAAAACTTTTAAAATTATTACTTAGATATACTGCTTGCGGCATGTGCTAAGATTATCCGCTGCTCTTTGTGCTTTCCTCTATACTTCAGCAGGCTCTGCCAGTAAATATGAATGCAACTACATTTTCAGCATCTCAGTTTAAAATGGCTAACGCTGTTAACGCTCACGCACCCAGAATGGATTATACATATTATTGCCATTGTAAGAGCATAAGATACTAAAGGTGTCCGGTATCTGGTTTGTGTAAGGTATTTCCATTCTTACCAGGAACGCTTAATCATAGAATCATAGAATGGTTTGGATTGGAAGGGACCTTAAAGATCATCCAGTTCCAACCCCCCTGCCATCAGCAGGGACACCTTCCACTAGACCAGGTTGCTCAAAGCCTCATCCAGCCTGGCCTTAAACACTCCCAGGGAGGGGGCATCCACAACTTCCTTGGGCAACCTGTTCCAGTGTCTGACCACCCTCACAGTGAAGAACTTCTTCCTAATATCTAATCTAAACCTACCCTCTTTCAGCTTAAAGCCATTTCCCCTTGTTTTGTCATTAACTGCCCTTAAGAAAAGTCCTTCCCCAGCTTTCTTGTAGGCGATTTAACACTTGATTTAACACTTTAGGAAGCTGTGTTATCAGTATGTACCACAGGAGTAAGTGAGCACTGGTTGGCATTTCCTCCCTGTACTGAACTGTACTGCTGCAGTATGGCTCATCTGACATAAAAGTCTTCCTAAACACAGCTCTAATACATTATAGACTTGCCATAGCTCTTTGAAAACACTCTGGGAGAGGGAATAGTCTAAACTGGAACAGCAAGTTTATTTTCCCTATTTCCAAAATACGTATTTAATGATTCACTGTGTTTGTACATAAAATGCCAACAATCAGCTAGGTTCTTAATCAGCCTGCTGCACTGCATAGGGATTATATTTTTTCCTGTGAAAATGACAGTATTTTTTACCTAATTTGCAATAAATAAGCGATATGACACTTACCACTTATTTATTGCAAGCGATAAATAAGCGATTTTAGCCTTTAATCTGATAACCTAAAAAATACAACAGAGAAGTTGACACATTCCGCTAGAAAACTGAAAACTGACAAAATAACAGTAATTCTAAAACTGCAGTTTAAATGCTCAAGATTTTTGACTATAGGAATTGGCACTGACCATTATCTGGTTCCTTTAAAAGTAATCTCCTTAATGAGGAAAATGGTCAAAGAAAGCAGGTGAAGGATTGAAGAGGAAGGATCCTGAGACAAGGAATGCTCCATAGCATTTAAAGAAATACCACAGCTGACCAGCAATTATGAATTAGCTGAAGACAAAAGGATGGCAAGAAGACTGACCATTGCAAGCTTAAATCACTATGTGTTAGAAAAAAAAAAGAAAAAAAAAAAGAAAAAAAGAAACTTCATAACACATTCCACTGGTTTATACCTGATTTCCCAGGAAGAACTGATAAGAAATGAAAAATGGAAGAAAGACACGATTAGTTTACAGGAAATTCTCTATATGACTCTAGAACACATGCAAACTAACACATTAGACATTCTAAATAAAGTATCTACTTGACAGATGAGCAGGTAGCTAGCTATCCAGAGACTGAATATTGGAAAATATTCAAGGCCTTTGTTTCCTTCCCATTGCTGTTTCCATGGTCTTTGAAAATAACTACAAGTATTCAGCAATCTCTCTTAGCCAAATATGGCATATTTCATCTGAAATTGTTCTGGTTATTGAATCTAGGGGTAGCAGATCTTTCTCTACAGTGTGATATTTCTTCTTCTGTGATCGAATATCGTTCTGCAGATATCTAATACTTCTTATACTTCTTCAGAAGGAACCGTGTGCTTCAGTAAAATGACATGGGAGGATAAAAGTGATCAGATACACTTTGGTAAAAAGATTTTTCAAGTACAACACAATACCACAGGAAAATATCAGTCACTGTTTTTATGAAACTAATAGAAAATCAGGTACAGTTTAAACACTTTGGGTATTCAGGTAAAAAGATGGGCTTTTAGGGAGCTGTTGTATGTACGTGTGTATGCGTGCAAGCAGTTAGCTTTTAAAAATTCTCCTATATTGAAAAAAGTTTCAGTAGTTTCAGCAAAAATAAATACAAGCATCAACATTTTCCCATATTTTAGCTTCTGTGTTCTAACAAGAAAAAAACATAAAATTTAGACAAGCTTAAAGTCAGAAAATACGTAATTGTCATACAAAATTCCTACAAATTAATAGTCTACTTCCTTGCATAAACCATGTCATATGAAGAATCTTGAAGCTAAAAAACTAAGAAGGTCCTTAGAAGACTTACCCTGTACTTGTTATCCCCAATCTGTTCCACTTGAAATCGTTTTGCACATTTACATTTAGCTACCTGCCTTGTAACCTGCAAAAAAACCACAACCGGATAATTACTTTTCTGCTAATATCACATTTCTAAAGATTTGTGTTAACTGGTAAACTTCAAATTATATAGGAGTGAACATAAAATTAATTATTAAAGAATGTGATCCCAGTAGACTAGAGTGCAATCGAAGAAAGCAGAGAATGTACCTCATCTTCAATTTTGTCAGCATCTGTGAGAGGCTTGTATGCATCCTTGTTTGGATGAAGAGCTGCTACAAATTCATAATAGTCAATATACCCATCACCATCTCTATCAAAAATGTCTGCAACAGCACTCATTTCAAGTCGGCTTGTTGGGAATTCTGTAAGACAAAGACAACAACAAAAGCTAAGTTTTTGTTTTTTCAATCCCATTAAAAGGCTTTATCACAAAGGCTTTTAGGCACTAAGTGACAGACAATGCTTATCAAAAAAACAAAGACATTCAAAAAAGTGAAGGAATCTTTCTGAATAAAACAATCTGGATTTCTAATGTTACCTAGATAGACCAATATAAAAATTCCCCTATACTGAAAACGGTTTCAGCAGTTTCAGCGAAAATAAATACAATATATATACAAAATACATACCAAGATATTGGTATATCTAGGTATACATATACATGAATATCATTTATCATATATGCATAAATGAATATCAGAGTGTGGCTTGAAGAGAGACACAGAAGTGAGGGCACAGATTAAACTGTAACATAAATGTATTTTTTTTAAACATTTTGACTTTTGAAGTGCATAAAATACCACAGATTAACAAGATAAATTGTTAGTGAGGAAAGGTCAAGCGAGAATTTCACCGCTAATTAAATCTGGAATGCGAGGCTTTCCCACTGCAGAAACATGCACAATGTTTGGTGAAATCCTTCTTTACATCAAGTTCACAGCAGCAGAACATTAACCCACACAGAGATCTTCTACAAAATGGTCAAAGAAAATTTCAAGATGGTAAACAGGGATTATATCATGAGTATATCATGATACCAACTGAGTTAATTGAGTAAACTGTTTTAACTTCTTGGTGGTATCCAGGTTTTTTCATCAACTGTCAATTCATGCAAAACAGCAGTATCCACATATAGTGAATATATTATTGCATTTCCTAAGGGGAAAATATATACACTAAAATATTCTTCTACTGAATAACTTTAACATGAGATGCTAAAAGCAGCTCAGTTATGAAACTTCATTGCTCAGAGCAAAAGACTCCATGATCTGAAGATAAAGGATTATTTGAAGTAGTAGGCCCTTATCTGTTATCAGTCAGTTGCTAAAAGGAAACATGATCACACACAGACATGGTGTGGAAGGCTTATATTTACCACCAACTGTGCATACCTAAGGAATATCAATCCATTAGGAAAACTAGGAGAAGTCCCTTCCTAGTCTGATTGCTTGACATTTTGATCCTCGTCATACAGGTATACTCATGGAAACACTGTTTTCAGAAATTACATGGTTTCCTTCTATAATTGAAACTATCTCATGCAAGTTCTTTAATAAAAAATCATATGATCACACAAACTGATTTTGAAAATTATCTATAGGTTTTATAAGGTATGTTTTACTATTCTGACTAATCAATGAAAAGTAACTGTTGAAGCGGCGAGGGTACTGTAGGAATGTAAACCAGTAAACTATTAATTAGTCAATAATATAAATGTGACATTTGTAACCTGATTCACAATGTAAAAGAACTAGAAAGAGTTTCTAGAATATAGAAATATTTTCAAGTAAAATAATTATAGTTTAAATTAATCATAATTAACAACTTACGTGACCTTCTAACAAAATAAACTGCATAGGGTACGCTATATAGACAATGAGACTTCATGAGATGTTTGTTCTAAGTTCAACATTAAGCTAATTTTGAAACTTACTTGAAGAAAGAATTCCATCGATAAATTCCTGTCTTGTTATCTTTCCATCCTGATCTTTATCAATCCTCCTGAAGAAGTCCATCACACGAGACTTTTTATGGTTCATCCATCGCATGTATTTTTTCCTCCAAATATCAAAATCAAAGTTGGCAAATTCTCTCAGCTTAATAAAAAAAGAGAAGGAACTTTTTTCAGCTGAAATCAATCAATCTAGAAAATCATGAGAGACATGAACACCATCTGTGTTCTTTTGAATAATTGGTTCTTAGAGGTCCTATATAAACATTTTAAACATCTTAACTCTCCTCACATTTAAAATGAGAATGACAGCTTTTAAAGCATGTGTATCACAGTGTTTTCAGTTACTTGTATCATATGATACAATACAACACATATGGAAGTTGTTTACATTATTTACAGTATTGGCAATTTAATCCAGGTCAAACAAAATTATGCAAAAAGTATATATATATTCTGTACAGTCCTCTTCTGACCTCTTCAAGCCTGTCCAAAGCATCATTAAGTTTTCTTCTTCTTTCCAAGGCCAGAAGCCAGACTTGCTGCCATTTGCTGACTAAAAGGTTTACCCGTGGATTCTTGGTTTCGATTTGTGCCTGGGCTGCTGATGGATATATGCCTGGTGTTGGGGAACGCTTCCCTGTTAAAACATGATAAAATGCATCTCACTCAGTTCAAACAAAACAAACATTCACATGAAGGGTACTTGACCTTCCTAAAACTACTCCTTCCTGTCCCAGATAATGAGTCCATACCCTGATATGATTCCATCTAATGGGATTTTATTTTTTTTTACCATTGCTAGGGAAGGATCACATGGTGGCTAAAGTATCTTTTGTCTAGCCAGGTATTCAAGAAGTATAGGACAAACTTAAAAGTACAAGTCTGCTATGAAAAAATCCCTAACAATGAAAAATGACAGATAATTACAAAAATCAGCCAAAATAATTTCACCTTGTTTCACTAGAAGCTAATCAAACCTATTAGATTATTAGTAACCTGGTATCTTTATAGACAGAGCAATGGTGTGTGTGACCTGCCCCAAAATACTTAATTACTTACTTCCTGCTCTCCCCTTATCAAGGACAGGAATATGAGACTGCACTGGAGTGGGTTCAAGTGCCTTTCTTTTATAGGTCTTTGTAACTTTGTCCACATCAGGCTGTTTTCTGGTCATTTCCTCCATGAATGTCTGCAATCAGATAGAGGTGGTTTTAATTAACAATACACAAAAGTGACCACAGGAATGAAAAACATACGACAACAGCAAAACACCAAAGTTATAAGAATGTCACAGAAAGACTCTTATAATGCCAGCCTTACAAAAAAGACACAGTTTTGTAGGTAAGAAAAATCTGCAGGATAAGCTTTTAAGACCACTATGGCCTGGTTGTTAAAGGAAGGCTAAATCTAAAAAACAAACTGTCAAAATATTGTTTGACTGATAAAAATCTGTCAGACTCCTTTATTAACTGTGCATGGTGAGGTGAGGTGATGTACAACAGAATTTTGACTCTGAGTACTCAGGTGTTCCTTGCTGTCCAGACTGCAGTTCATAGAAGTGACACAGCTCTGGTGTGCAAGCCCATGGGTATTCACTGCACCAGCAGTTCCCTCTGGCACTCACAGACCTATTTTTGAAATCCATCAGTAAAGACACACTGCAACACTAGTTCTAAGGCAGCAGCACTAACATATATTTCACATGGCTTTTTAATTATTATTATTATTATCCTTGTTCCTATGGGGAGTTGTAGGTTTGCCTTTAGAACAATGACAAGCTAAGTTTTAGTTAGGTTGTTTTTTTACCTCTGTGTTGAATAAACTACAAGCACATTATACACATACAAAACACACAACTGAATAATTGAAGAGAGATTTGATTATTAGGAGAGAAAATAACTAAGGGGATTCACACTTTATGATGAAGCCTAGCTGAGACATGAGCACCATTTGTGGAATGTGTAGGACATGTGTCACTTAACATGCCTTACCTGATGTTCGGCTATAAGTGCTTTAACTTCTTCAATCTCCTGGGGGATAACCTCTTTATCTTTTTCAGTAAGTGTAGTCTCTGCCCACTGCAACCAGGACAGCAAGGCTTCCAGCAATTCCTGGTTAGCAATAAGTCCAGCCAGAGCTCCTGACAGTCTCTGTTGATGTTGTTTAGCCCATGCTAAGACCTTGATAAAAGAACCAATGCGTGAGTACGTGCACATCTGAAATTCTTTAAAATGTATTTAAAATTGCCCTGCTAACTGTAAACCCAGAGCTTCATCCCAGGCCTACTGCTGATTATCAAAGGTGCCAGGTGTAGTGGCTGATCACTAAAGGTGCTAGGTAACGAGAATTCCTAGTTCAACAAAGATGTTCAGGATTAGGTTAAGTGCAGTAAACAGCACATTCAGGCAATATATTAAGAACTTTATCAAACAATATCTTTAAGTTAGTGAATCATGCAGGATGTGGCATCCATCTTCCTCCAGGGCACTCCTCCTGAAGCCATACTTTGCTAACACCACTATTTTGTTTTTCTTTAAACTTAATATACACAGAAAATACCACCTTAGCAGCTGAGAGTGTGGTACACCCTCTGAGACCTACTTGTAGCAATTTAAATAATTTGGAAATCTTCCAGATTATGTTGGACTAAAATCCTCCCTAATGCAATTAGAAAATGCTTCAAGTTTGCCCTGTATTTTCTTTTCTCTGTAACTTTTAAGTGTCTCCCTAGAAACTATTGGCTTTCTTCACATGGGAAGTGTCAGGCAATATTTCCTTTAATACATACAAACAAAGAAGCTTGACCATCTGCTTTAGCTCTTAAAGCCCTGTTAAGTTTTAAAATAAAACCAGTGGAAGCATGGTATTCACATCTATCATTGCAAGTATTTTAAATGTTTACTACTCAACAGCTGGATCATTTCCTCCCAGTGTAACTACCATGTTAGTTGTCAGCTATATTTCGATCAAAGATGGACCGTTGCAATGAAGGTAGCTTGACATATACCGACCTCTTCAAACCTGGCTCTGATGATTGTTATCCAGTGTTTAATGGTGGTGATGGAGTCTGGGTGGCAGATAGCTAGGATAGCTTCTCCCATACTTGTTGCTTTATTCAGTTCTGCCTTTTTCTCTTCAAGTTTCTTCATAAATTCCTAAGCCAGAGGTAACAACTTCAATTAGATGTTGACAAAATTTGCAAGAGAAATCTCAGTGCATATTCTGGAAGGTTGCGAGCCTCTCAATCGCTCAAACAGATTCAACTTGCAAGAGGCAAGTTTAATTTGTCTGAGAAAAGTAAAAAATGTTTAAAAAGCTTATTCCACATAAAGTACTAAATGAAGCTCTAAAAATTTTACCCCAGCTTGCCACTCCTTAAAAGCCCACCATACTGTAAATACTTGAAAGACACATGCTTTTATTAAAAAAAAGAAGGAAAATCCCAGCATTTTAGAAGTGCTGTAAATCAACTATATGACAGTGAGAAGCACTATTGGCAACATTTCAGATGACCTGGTTTGTCTGTCAGTTACAGTAATTCTTCATAATAAACTATCAAGCTCCTACCAGAGACTGGAAATGTCCAAGTATAATTACATGCTCAGACAAGATGATAGAGGACTTCAGGAGCAGCTATACTAAACTAACACAAATGTGAAAACTCAGCAGCTGAGGGGGAGAGACACAGCAAGAACAGAGACAGAGACTGCTAATTAACCAGCTGTTTTCAGAGGCGCTGCCACATGGGAAAAATCTTGTAAAAGCAAAAGGATATTTACAGCTTTAGACATTCAAGCTCACAGCCACTGATGTTCCTAGGGAGGCTGGCAGATGAAAGGGTGCCAGGACCAGAAATGGGTGCTGGGGTTAAACAACAGAAAAACGAAGGACTTTTCCCATCCTTTCTGTAGTTTGCATTTCTTTTATTATTATTAAAAAAACCACCACAACGGTTTTACTATTCTCCCTATTTTGTCATGTCTAATTGTTGTGTAAGTCTGTGTGTCTTTGTGAGCCAACATCTCTCAGTGCCTAGAGGAATTTTTTGCTCTATTTTCACATCTTTAATTGGGCTACAAAATGGAATCATGTCTCTGAAAGTTTAACTCTTCCTCTCTCCATCCACAAAGGGCTATTTTGGATTCCAGAAATTAAAGATCAGCCAAGTCAGATCCTAGAAAGTTCAGAATCACCTAAACATTGTAAAACCAGATTCTACAACTCAAAATGACACTATCCTGTGCCTTTACAAAGTAAATATGAAGCTATTATGAAATAAAAGTGTAAAAGAAATAATCTCTTCTACCTTGTTCTAAAAACCTGGAATAGATTGCTGTATATTTAGAGATTAACATTTGGACTTAAGCTTAAGTTAATGTCAGAATTTAAGACCCAATCACAATAGCATTTCTTCTCTCGAAAAACCTCTTCTCTTGGAAAAGTCAAGGTGGGTTATGGTTAAAGATTACCAAGTAAGTCAGAGCCAGGAGGAAAAGAGACAACAACATTGTTTTCCCCGCACAACTGTACTAGAATTTCTCAAAATCTAAATCTATGATACAATAAATAGAGTGTATTAAGCTTTCACTCAGTAAAGGATACTAATTGTATTGAATTCTGTGGCAGTCCAGTGATATAGACCCACTTACAAGAGAGGAGATGGGATGCTTCTCATTAACTAATGCAGTGCATTAACCTACTACACCTCTCAGTCCCTAAGAGGATGGCAAGTGACAGAAACCTCTCTGCCTGAGATAGTAGAATTATTCAATCATGTGCAGTATTCAAGAAAAAAACCAAAAAACAGTAATGGCCATAAAGATGGACCATTTGGATAAAGTATCATCCTGAGGAAGCCTTTCAACATGTAGCTGGATACAAATGGATTAAAACTATTTTATAAGAACCACAGAGATAAAAGGAAGATATATTTCATATTTATGTAAATCATGTCAGTCATACTTTTTTTATACTACTATTGCAGCATTGTAATACAGGCATTGTGTTTAAAACTAATATAATATATTATTTCCCGTTATTTTCTTTTTTTTCTTCTTGAAAGCTAATGTTACAAGCTTAAGAGGAGAGGCCACTCATTTAAGGAAGACTTTGCTGCATGTGCTTATTGAGCGGTAAAGCAGCAATGCCACAGTCTTTCTTAGCTTGACCATTTCTGTATTGCTATTATTTGGCCTTTAAGAAGAAAATGCGGTTGGAAGATCACCTTCTAGAGCCTATTCAAAAAATTTAAGTACAATATGGCCACATCTAACATTGAGGTTGGTTCTGTTGTGCTACACTCCCCAGCTGGACAGGGTTTCTCAGAGACAAACTTTGCTTTGGTTTGAGGTTCCACATCATGCTTCAGCTTTAGCAGCACAACTTTGAGCTTTGGTACAGAAATATTTTGTTAATCAATCTGCATTGCAGAGGGAGAAATTTAAGACGTTTTATTCTAATTATTTCAGTGGACCTAAGATTTCACTCAGACAGTTCTTTCCTCTGTATTCAGAAGATAAAAAAATTAAATACAAGGGAACTGATGAAGCATACGTGGAAGAAAGGCAGATAAACACAAATTTCATTGCATTGAAGACAGCAAGTTGCTACTGCCAACATTAGTCAGCATATGCTGATACGTACATACACAGATTTGCCAGCTAAAGAACAGCACCCAGTTTCCAGGGCCCTAAATTAAATATGAAAACTTCTTCAAAATATTGTGGACTGAGCACCTTGGAAACTCCTTGGTTAAGAATCACTAGATAGTCATATCCTGCAGGCACTCCTCTGTGCAATAACATTCCCAAACTCAATTTAAACAGGATGCTTTCTCATCTCCATTTCATAAGTTCTGTTATAACTTTCTTCAGAGCAATGATGAACAAATCCATTGCTCTTACAATTTGTTCTATAACATTGTGGGCACTACATTCTTGATACTACTACTACTGCACTTAGAAGAAGTTTGCATGGGCTTAAATGTGCATGTTTGTAGCCTCCTGTTTGGAGAGTGAAAATATGACTGCAACGCTCCTTCCTTAAACCATTTTCCCATTTCATTATGGCCAAGTTAGTTTGATGGCCTATAATCTAGTGTCTGCAGTACCTACGGCACCGCACTATTTCAGGACCTAATGCATGTGAATTACGACAGCGCGCTGTTTCAGCGTGAGAGAAGGTTAATGGATGATAACGTAATTCTGCTGACATTTCCAAATGACCTTGAAAGAAAAGTATACGCTGTTTTCTTCAATGGTGCTTAGAAGACAGATATACTTTTGCTACTGTAGCAGTCTGTGTTATAATTGTCAGGCAGCATATATTCCACAGAGGGGTTTGCATCTATCTCTATATGTTTACAGTGACTTTCTAAAGGGCCATTATTTTCTTAGTAAGCCAAGATGACTCAAACAGCCCAACACCAGTATGGGCACCAAACAGTCAACTCCATGAAATTTCTAGCTTCTCTGTAGAAACAGCTGCAAAACCAAACACTGGATGTGACTACTTGGGATAGACTTTGGCTCCTTTCCTTTTGTTCTACCCCCTAACAGACTTAGAATGAAGAAGACCCTCTTCATGTTCTTGCTTACCTTGTGTTGGTCTATCAGTGTACGCAAGGCCTCTTCATCATCTGGAAGGACCCCATGGAAACGAAGAGCCTGCTCCGCCTCTGCCAGCCACTCCAAAAGCACATGGACAACAGAGTGGAATTCTTCTGCCTGTTAAAATAAAAGAAGTAGTCATGGTCACTCACGAGGGGATCTGACAGACACACTACAGCTTACACAAGGAGACTGAGCCCAATTTGGAGTCATTAATCATGCAGCAGTACTGGCACATTAACTTTCCATTAAAAAGTCAATGATATACAGTACTACATTTTCATAACTGTAAAAATATCTCATGCTTCCCAAAAAATTATAGGAAGCGTAAAAGCCTGTTCATGCTTTTAGCCATCAGATTTATAGTGTATTTCCAGCTCAGTTGAGAATGTCATGCCTTTACGCTGACAAATTATACGGGAGGTGCTTTCATGGACCAGCTGGAGAGACAAACTATATTTTCTGCACAGCCTAAATCACTGGTTAAGCAAAATTAACTGACAGTCCATTGGTGACTGACCCTTTTATATCGGAAGAAAACAAGAAAGTTCCACCTTTGGGCACAGCCATATTCACACACAGTGTTTGAGATAGCTCAGGATAGTGCCTGCTGAGAGACAAGAGAGCTGGACAAACACAGTACCCTGGGAAAAACAGGGCAGGAATTTTTTACACAGTGGATACATTGCTATTGCAGGACACCCACCCTAGCAGCAAGCCAAGCTATTATATCTTCACAGAGCTGTACGTCCTTATTAATTCAGGTTTGGAAAAAATAGAGATGGACTTATTTGTCTGGGATCAGTACCAGCCAATACTGACACACATACACTGTTCTAGCTCCTGAGTGCACTCAGTACAACTCCATTTTTTCTCCAATCTACTTCACTGTGCACTGTAATTGTGCCAATGTAAATAAGTTTTCAGTACACAAATTTACTTCTTTCCAATAAGGCACAAAAGGCATAAATATGATTGCAATCTTCAGCTTCCTGTGAAGGGGGCATAGTTCTTAATCACCCTTCACGCTTGACTGTAACTTCAGTGATTTCCTTAGATGGTAAGGTCTTTGAAACATTTGCTTTGCATTTGTGGTATAGACTAATAATAACAGCAATAATAAATGCTAAGAGGCATTATTCATGTGCTGTGGTTAAAGGGATGCAGACAAGGTAAGCAATGCATGAGCAAGAAAATTAGTATTTTCAAATGAAATTAAATGACACTGAATGACATGAAGTGAAAATAAAATTAAATTTTTGGCAACTACATTGTAACATATTTTCTCTGTTTCTCATAAAGTACATGTAGCACCATTACTACTCCTCTACCTGCCGAAGAGCCTGTTCCAGTCGTGTTTGCTTGGACACTGACAGGGCACAAACTGTCTCCCAGCGAGTGCTTAGCTCCTGCATTTGGACTTTGACCCAGGAAGAATCATCACGACTGCCTTCTATCAGCTCTCTGGCAGAACGCTTCAGAGCCTGGACACTGCTTGTTCTTTTTCCCAGCTCCTTCTGGAAAACCTAGGCACCAAATAAATTTAATATGTTTAAATCATTACTGCATAAGTATCTAAAGAGAAACAAAAACCTACTGGTTATAAGAAGAAATCAAAATATGGACTTAGTACGATCAAGAATAAATCCATCAAAGTGACTCAAAATGCACAAGTCCTGCTCATTAGATTCCATATGAAGATATTTACACTCTATCCTATCTTAATAAAACTGGAATATGGTAGGAAAATGTCAGGCAGATCCTGAGAACCCATCCTGATGCAATGCATGGGAAATTTAGCTTCCTTACCACACTGGCTTTACACTCTTAATCAAAGCAACTGATCTGACACACTCTATTAATGTGCAAGATTTAAAACCATAAAAACAGAAATAAAACTCCATCTGAGGGTCTGACTATAAGGCTGTAGGTCTTGCCAGATACTCATATATTTATGTGAGAGTATGTTCACATTTCAGACGGAACAAGCTCCAGTTACATAAAGGAAGCTTTAAATGTAATCTTAAGAGATGACAATTACAGTATACTGTGCCACGGACCATGACTTAGTTGTGATATACAATGGGATTTCAGAAGTAATTCCAACATTACTTCAGGCTAATTTTTATAGACAACCCATGTTCCCAAATAATTTTTTTCAGAAGGGACAAAATCTCCTCCTCACTAAACAGTCTTTGGATACAGGAAGTCACTGCTAGATGAACAGAGGGACCTTCACCCTGTAATCCTCCCAGGCTCCAGAGCTCTGACTGTGTGTAGCTTTTGCAATGCCAGTAACTTCAACAACTGTTTCTTCCAACACACTGAACTGCAGAACTGGGATTCAGAAGCACAGTCCCGCATTTGCTACTCGTTCCCATCTCCAAAAACACATCAGTAACAAAATTCTGCACCTTGCCAATGTAGGCTTCCCGGGCCACAGTTTAGTTGTATGCTCCATATCATAACTTAAGCATGCAACTACTTTTCTCCTCCTCCTCCCCCTCCTCCTCCTCCTATGAATATAGAGCAGCCCTGCAGGTTTGAAAGGCTGCTGTAGTCATGACAAGTGCACTGGATGTTTGATTAGCAGATGTACTAAATAAAAAGCCCTATTTCCCCCGAAGATTTCCAGTAAAATAATTTTTGCCCAAACACACACATTCATAAATGCACATTTGTGATTTTTGACATGATATCCATAAATATACAGGATAAAATACAGCATTAAATGGAATATCTCAATGCTAACTGGTGTCAACGAGTCACTAACCATGGTTTTCTTCCAAGTATGTTTTACAGCATTTTCCATTGCTGATGACATATTTGTGTTATAACACTATTCCATGTTTCTAAAAATTACAGAATACCCAAATAAAGACAGCATTAAAATGCTGCACTTTATGAGCAGTCTAGTAATTAAAAGATAGTATTTTTGGAATTACCTTGTGATTGTCGATCAGGTTCATCACTAAATCAATGTCTCCGTGTACTGGCTGATCTTCTGCTAGCTGAGGTTCAATTTTGTATAACCAGTCAATGAGAGCTTGCAGAGCATCAGTAAATTGTCCTGAAAATAGCAGGGCTTCCTCCAATTTATTTTGTCTAGGGGGAGGGGGGGAATAATTAATTAATTAATTAATTAATTACACACACACACACACACAAAAAAAAAATCATTCAGAGACTTTAAGAAAACATTTCAGCACAAAATGGTAACAACCAAGACCTTTAAGACAGTGTTTCCCTTTTTAAATAGTGGGACCACCCACGCCCCTCCAGTCCTCTTCCATACCATCATGAAAATATGCATTTTTAGTATTTTACTGCTTTGGCACTCTGGTTTTACTTTTGCACAACAGAAGACAAAAGAATTTGCCTAAGCCTTTTTCTTATCTGCTGAATAATTATATTGGTTTTCATTTACCTTTCCACTGATTTTCCACAAATTGTATCCCACTTATCCCTTAGTTCACTGAGCATATCATCAAGTTTCAAATTGTCATCAGCCAAGGTGGTTTTCTCTTTCAAGGAGCGTCCAGTCCTATTTGTGGTATCATATACAGAATGTTTGGCACCCAGAGATTTCTGGAATTCCTATATATATGGAAGAAAAAGAAAACATACATATAGCATTAACTGCTTACATGCCACAGTTAATTAATCTTTGACATATTAGTTGCAATAGAAATTGTAAATGTTGCTGTAATAATATTTTAAACATACTGCTAAATTTGAAGTCTGCTAGTGCCACAGTGCACTTGAAATTATATGGGGCTTGACACCAGCAGAGTCCCTGCCTTTTGTCCCTCTCTGGGAATGTAGCTCTACACCTACTGGAATAAATTCTGGAAAATCCCTCCTTCAGTGAGAGCAGTGGTTCCCATCCTACCATAATATTAACAAATATCAGCAAGGGGCTGCCTTGTAGTCAGAAGAATGTGAAGGAATTGCTACTTTGGCAGACATGAACTGAACAGTTTTCATGCTACATTTTTACATTCTAAGAATTCAATCCAGTGTAGAGCACCCCAAGGGCTACAAAAGTCATTCTGTTTTAGCTCAGCATGGTCAAGCTGGGAAACCTCCAACCACAAGCATTTAATCCTCCTAAGATTGAAGCATACTATAATTGGGAGTAGTTGTATGCCAAAAGTATCCAGATCCAGGCCCAAGAAGCAGCCAGGTGATACCACAATAACTCAATTTGGGCTGGAAGCCATGATCACAAACAGGTTTCTGTGATCCAGGGACTCTGGAAGATGACAGAGACACAGCAGTTGCATCTGCCTGCCAGCTCCGACAGCTCCTTCTGCCCAGAGCCTCTGGAAGCTTTTCAAAGGCAGAGAGGAGCACACAGAAACACAGCTCATCTGATACTGTAGAGGAGTTAACCAACAGGGTAAATAATTAAATAAAGGAACGATGCCAAAAGACAAAACCAGCACTACACAGCAGCTTTTAAATGGTAGCAATGCTTAAAGTGTTTCGTTTCACACCTTCATGAACTGCTAGTAGGAAATCAGTTTAAAAAAAAAATAAAATCACAAGTTTGCTTTAGGAAACTCAGACATACAGAATCTAACAATTTTTTTTTATTTTTTTTTTATTTTTTGGTCACAAAAAATACTAGGCCAAAGGAGTTTTTGCTCAGTGTTTCCTGAAACAGATTTTCATCCGGTTCTCAGAGCAACATCTCAAGTATCATCACATCCAGCAAGGAAATGACTACCACTTACAACTTATAGTAATTCCTCAGGGCATGTAAAGATTGCAAGGATTCCTCATGGTTACTGCTGGCATATGCACACCTGCTCACCTCCAACTGGCAAGCTGTTCCCAGCTGGCCTGCATCAACCTGTGCCATGGTAGCTCACAACTCTTCCAACTTCCTTATGTGTCCATCTAGTCATGCTCTTTTTAGATGTGAATGTGTGTCAGGGAAACTCAAGTGGAATGGAGGTGCCTTAATTAGGAGGTAGGCATTTCGTTATGCCATGTGGACAGTATGACAACTTTATGTGGGATGATTCAAGGTTCCTTTTTTAAAACTTGCTTGGTATTTTGCTCTGTACTGTCCTTACTTTAGGATTATTTCAGAATCCAGAGGGAACTGAGGATCAAAATTTACCAGAAAAAAAAAAGGCAGCGTTTGTTTTGTAATGCAGTATTTCCTTACTGTCCTTTCACCTTCCTCATATAAAACCAGAAGGAAACACACTTTAAGAAAGAATACAAACACTATTATAAAGCTAGAACTATAGTAAAAATTAAAATAGTTTTCAAAATGAAAATCACCAGATTTTTTAGAAAAGTTCCTTCAATATAAACCATATGTCTGTGCTCCTTCTGTTTGATGGGTTTTAATAACTACTTAACACTACATGCATAGTGTTACTTGATCAGCACAAGGAAACACAATGAAATTGCTGGCAGCGAAGGATCATACAGGAAAAACAGATTTAAAGGTGAACAAAGGGTCACAGTCAATTAATTCTTTGAGATACTACACACACCACACCATATCTACTTTCATTTGATTTCACAGAGGTGTAACTGAGAGTAGATTTTGGTTTAAGCTGTCAGGAACAGACAGGTAAGATGAACAAAATCTCAGTAATTAATGATCTACCTTCCTTCTAAGGAAGGTGGGAACATACAGATAAAATTAGACAGATTGCCATAAATGTACCGTAAGGAAAATTCAGCATTAGCACAGGAATGGATTGGGTGACCTAGTAAGGGTTTTTCCATTCCTAACTTCTAAAAATGAGAAAAAATTGCTGATAAACAGACCATGAATAACCCTCAAAAGTCCCTGGCAACACAACAGATATGAAAGAGGAGAGAAAACATATTATCTTGGCTTTTCTCTTTCGGGTCTTTTTTTTTTTTGGCAGTAACAACTGTCAAAGAGTGAGTCCAAATTATTGCTTACAGCACACATTCAGTTCAGATAGCAAAACTGTTAACTAAATGGAGCAAGGAAACCTTCAAGGCTGGACAGAAAAGACAAAGACAGACACAGGGGGTATTACGTGGGAGTGGAAGGAAAAGACTCAAAACACAAGGAAGGACATTGCAGTGTTGGGAGGTTTGACAGCTCATTAAAAAACAATTGAGTTGATTTCTTGGGGGAGTTGTTTGAAGTTTAAAGTCAGAAAGTTCACAGAATTCCCTCTCTCGCACACATTCACCTTTTCCCTCCAAATCAGCACTTTCAATCCTACTGTCCCTGTGCCACACTCCATCCCATTCCTTAACAAGAAATGAGATTCAAGCAACTCAAGTAGCTATTCTCTGCAGGCATTTTATACGAAAAGAAGCTGGAGGAAAGACAGCATTGAGAGACGTCATGAGTCTGCCAACCCATGTGAGGAAGCTTGGGCTCATAAAACAAACTGCTGCAGGTATAAAGAACAAGTGGGACTATCAAGTTTAACATTTCAGAAGAGCAGAGGAGAATAAAGGTAGAGAGTCAAACTTCAGGACCTGAAAGGACCTCAAAGTAAAGTCACAATGTGTTGACCGTACTCGTGAGAAGTTTGAGCTTTACATAAAGAAAAGAGGGGAGTGGAAAGATTAAAAGATTGAGAGACTCAGAGAAGACAAGAAAGACTATCTTAACAGAAAAGTTTTTTTCTTCCTAAATCCCACTGCTGACTTCAAGTTCTGGCAACAGCAGCAATCCCAGAACAAACTGAAATTGCAGAGTTAGCATAACAGAAAGTTAATGTAGGTTTTATCTAAAAGTTTTAAAAGCAAACATAGGTAAAACTATTTTTGCTTGACCAACAGCCAACCTTCCCGTATTAAAGGAGAATATTTTCCTGGTTGATAAACAATACTTGATAAATCATCATGTAAACTGACAGATGATAAAAATATAAAGCAGACCGATGCAGTAACCAATCATTAATATACATGTCAAAACTTGTCAGAGGTAAAAGCAGAGAGAGAAAAATCAGATACTCAAACTCTTGGGGATCCTGCACACAATGAAAACAAAGGAGTAAATGGAGAACAATTAAATTGACATGAAAAGTCAACGTAAATGTATGCCAAAATGCAGAAACAAGAATGATCTTTCAATACTCTGTCTCTGATGAAACTCCTCCAAGATAAATCTTGAAACACAGTCTGTCTCTGAAGATTCTACCATTCACCCATTGATCCTCAGTAATATATTATCCTGGGCTCTTTACAAAAGTAAAAATGAAGAAAAGATTTCTTCCATCCATCCTTTTGCTCTGTCTGATGGAATTAGAGAGCTTTTACATTATCATTATTTGTTTGAAAAGCCATGCCAATCAGGGAGATTTTTACATTTTTCACCCACAGTAGCTGGGTTTGTGGAAAGCTGGTCCTGGAATTTTGAATCCCATGAAGAAAAACAACCTTTGCTACTAACAGGGCCATTGTACTTTCTAGAGGATTTAATTAATATTTCCACTTAACATAAAAAGCAACTGTCAATCAAAATAGAAGATAATTTTTCAGTTTTGAGGTGGTCCATTATTATTAAAAGGAAAATCTGAACCCGAATAACTGGATGGTAAAACTGTAGTTTAAGGACTGAAAAAAGCCTGTAATAAAACCTCTTCAGAGATTCCTATTCTGAGATAGTATTACTTTGTATTTTAAACTTTCCACGGTGCTGTATTAGGATGTCCTTCCTCTTCATAGTTAATCATCCCCCCACAGATTAGATACTGTGAAAAGTTTTTTTTTTTTCACTTCCCACCTGTAACACACCACCATTTAATTTGATGCTAATCAGCACTCCATGGTAGTAAGGTCACAAATCTACTTCCTTTGCTGACTGAACAGTACAAGGCTGATAGACTTACCTACATCTCACTGGGCACTGTGCCTTTTATCACTCATGACTCACCTTATGCTGTGCAAGCTGCATCTTTATTTTGTCAGGGTCATTTGCAATTTCAAGATCTGAGTCCAAAGATTTCTCTGACTCTTCTAGCCATTCCATAAGTTTGTGCCAGGCTTCATGGAACTGCAGGGAAAAGAGATTTGCATGGATTTTAAAATTCACTGGTTCAGAAAATAGTCTGAAAACACTAAACTCCAACCAATTCTCTACAGGCCAAACAAATACTCTGTAGACTTTGGAAAGATTTGGTGTGCTTTTCCCCCTGTCTCTCAAACAGGGACTAGACCAATCATGTAACCAATGGACTTAGCCTCCCTTCTCCCAGGTGATTTAGTAACCTTTTATGTACATGATCTGCAAATATAGTATGCACCTTTCAAAGACATAGTGGTAACTTCTGTTGATGTGTTGGTCATTAAGATTCCTATGTTTTTAGTAATGAATACTAAATACAGCAAGAATGGGGCTCAGCTATTGCCTATATGGGACAACAGCAGAAAACCACTGGGGAAAACTGTCTGGATGACTGGCCAAGATTTTCCCTGGGATGCTCATAAATGCTCTCATTATAACAAACGCTATCTTGACTAGCAGGGAACAGATCCTTGATCTTCCTTCCTGTCTTAACAAAAAGAGTGTTTCTGGGAGGAAGCAGGGAAAGACCAAAGATTCAACCAGCTTTCACAAAGCGTCACTCCTTTGGGGTTCAATTTTTCTAAGATGGTCGTTTCTCTCTCTGTGCCTCCTGAAAATTCTTCTTGCCTGGGATGCCTACACATGAAAGTACAAGGAACTAGTTCAGAAGCCTCGCAACCTGGACCCTGTTATTCAGGGCTGTGAAACAGGTCTTGACACCAGTACCCTTCAGTACATCTTCCCTGCTCTGCCTAGATAATTGTCATCCTAAATTTATAGCTTATTGTATTCAGCTCTGTAAATGGATATAGAGACAAAATCCATCTCATTGCAGAACTGCTGTGTGTGAATGCACATGAGAAACTGCTGGAAAATAAATAACATATGATTGGCTTATGGGCTAATTTATTGCTCAGAGAAGTTCTTACTCTACGAGCTGAGTAGCAGTAGCAGTGAACATGGGGATGTGGCTTGGCTGTGAACACGACCAAATCTTGAATGGTCATGTTCACTTGAATAAAAAGAAGCCAGAATTTCCTACTGACATTTAAACAGATTACATTCCTCTCACACATTTTGCATCTTATCATTTATGTTCCTCAGTGAAGGGAACACGAATCTAAGGAAAAAAACCATGAATGCTTCCTGGCAAGGAAAACTGTGTAAAAAAACCCCTCCAAGGTTTTTAATTACATAAATGGAGATCTCTTACCACACAGAAGACACTGGTCTAGTAACTAACATAAGAGATTGAGGAAGGGATGAATATTAATCAGGGCACAGTGTAAACCCAAGAAGAAAATACTAAGGAATACTCTCACAGATTAGTAAGAGGGGTTCATCAGATTCTTTAAAATATAAGCAGTTGATTGTGAAACTTCTTTGCAAGGACAGCTGACACTAATATACATCTGGAGGCCATACTGCAACTTTTGTCTTTCAGACTATCCTCTATTGCAGACAGAAGTCACTGCTCGTGGTTGAAAATGACACTCTCACCTCCCAAATGAAGTGCTCTATGACTGAATCACAGAAATTGCTCCACTAACTCAACAGTGTGTGTTACACTAAACCCAGACTTACTTTAAAGTGCTTTAAATCACCATATTCTTCAAGAGTCTGGATGTAATTACAGCTAAGTTCAAAGAGTTGTACAACAGCTGTTGTCCGATTACCTGTTTGGCTCTTTTCCTTGCATCATCCAAAGCTCTTCCCCTTTCAACTAAGCGTTGAACTACTTTTTCCCATCGACTCTGTACACTAATCAGCAGATTCTTAATAAGGACAACATCCTGTTTCTGGCTGAAATATTTCAAATGGGTTCCAGTTTTGTCCAGCTCTACGATCTGATCTCGATGAGAATTCACTTCTGTGGCAAAAACCTTGGAAAAAAGGGAGAAAATTACTCTAAATACTATGTTGCTCGAGCACTGGGTAAACACGGAAAAAACCCAGTCTGATAATGAATGATGTAGCAAGAAAGACTATAATATGTAATTTTTTAAAAAATTAAATGTTTCTCCGAGTGGCAGCGTTACAAGGTTCATTTGGACACTGTTAAAGTGTCTCCATAGAGTGGGAGAAAAACATTACACATCTGTTTCTTTACATACCTTGTGTTCATCAATTTGAAACAAGACAGTGTCCAAGATAAGACTTGGCCGAGAAGCTGCAGTTAGAGTTTGCTCAGCCTGAGTAAGCCAATTGATGAAATCTTGAAGTGAGTTGTGGAACTCCATTGCTAAATTGAGGGCTTCTTCCAGTTTGGTCTGTAAAGATACATCATACTTTAATAGCAGTTGATACTGTGCAGAGGTGTCAGCCAACAAAACCATTTTAGTTCAGCATTTTAGAACATTTTTCCTACTCAAAAGTTTCTGAGTTTTAAAATAACAGCCTACATTTGCACATATTAAAGGATATGGATAGAAGAGTAACAGTAAAATTATGTATGATAGATGAGTAGAAAATACAGCACCTAGTATCAAAATAAAATTTTCCACATTAGAACATTACATCTTCTACTACTTAATCCTAATGGGACATATGGATTTATCAATTTCAATACAAAACCAGTAGAATCTCAGAAATCTAAGGTGGCAGTGCATTTGGAAGAGTCTCAAAGAGGACATCTGATTTATTCTCTTGTACTAAACAAAGTTTGCCTAGACCACTTCTTTTTAATAAAGGCCAATTATCATTTTTGTTGCCCGAACCAAAATGATTTTGGATACAGAACTTTTGTTGATCATGAGACAGCAGTCAGAGGTTTTAAAAAAATCGCACTGCTGGCCTAGTTGAGCGCTCCAACCTTACAGCTTCTTGCAAGAAGGTGCTCTTGTTGGGTATTAATTAGTTTGACACTCTTACATTATACAGTTACCATAAGAGACGCCAGCATTTTTACTTTAAAACAGAACTAAGCTGTGAGTTATATATTTCTGCATCATACATATCAGGGCTGTACAGAGAGTTCCTCTGTAATTATTTATATTCTTCATTGTTTGATTGAGGTAGGGCAAATGGACTATACTGGGTGAAGGAATGAAAGCAAAATGAAGTTAGAAATAAGAAAACGTATGTTGCATATCAATGAAATCATTGATCTACGTTAGAACAGAAGGTAGTCACTTGAAGTCCAAGCATTTGGGAATTTTAAGAAAAAAAAAAAGACAAAAGCTAGGAAAATTAATGCAGCAATTCTGTACTGAGAAGGACATAAACTTGAATGATCAAATAATTTTATTTGCTCTTTCATGTGTATGATTACTGTAATAAAAACCAGAAAAGCCCTTGTTCTACCAAATGAGCATTATCAGTATCAGGTAACATATTTCAATGGAACAGGCTTGTTCCATTCTCACCCATCCTCCCCTCAGTTACAGATAATCAACCTCCTGAATTCCTTTTTTTCTCAGTACTTTCTAAACATACCAATGAATTCTGCATAACTGTCTCTACAACCAATTTTAAATCTAAAAGATCAAGCAAGTATGCATGCATAAAAGCAATGAACATTAACATCCTTAAATACATGATTTACACTTCTATTTTTATGTAAAACCACACACCTTTCTCTCACTGAGCTTTGTTTGTACTGATTCCCATTTTTCTTTCAAGTTATTTATGTCCTGCTCAACATTTGTTTCAGCAGACTCTGGGCATCTTGCAAGCATCTGCTGGCCTTTCTGCATTAGACACTTATATGTCTCTTCTTTGGCTTCAAAGACAGCACAAAGTTCCTAAATAAAGCAAGCACCAAAAAATAAGTCAGGTAGAAATTCAATACTCTTTACAAATGCTAGTATAACATTTATTCCTCCCCCATCATTTAGCGAGTATGATTCAGACTAATAAAGGAAACATATGTAATTGATAAAAAGCCAAATGAGCAAAGAAAGGGCCCAATTCTTCAGGAAACGAGAACTTGTATTGTCTGTCAGATGTTTTCTCTGAGATCCAAAGCTTGGCAAAGAAAGTACTAAGCACTTATTGCACAAGATTTGCTACAACTTGGTTGGTTTACAGTCCATCTGTAGTTGAAACACAAAAAGTATCAGCATTATACGGTACACTGAAAGCCCAGACCTATCCAATACACCTTCAAAAGCAGGAGGGACAACTTGGGAGGGCTGCTTTACTGTACATCGTCTCTTGTTTTGGCTGTATCTTCCTTTACTCGCTAGGCAAGAGCTCTGAAGACATTTTACACATAAAAGGAAAGCTGGAAGAATAATGGCAACAACTGGTTTACTTGCTAACTATTCTACTAACTATTCTTTTTTAACCATGTTAAAGATGAGGTGGCAAGAGACTGGGAGCTCCCATGCATCCTTCTGACTCAAAACGGCACGTTCAATATTTGTAACAGATTATCCAAAATGTACCAATGAAGCTGCTGCAGACTCCCAAATGAAGAAAATCTTCCAGGAGATGAACAGTAAGTGGCTTGCAAATAGGAGGAAAAGAACTTTTTCCTCTGATTCCCAGGTGAAGAGCCCAAACCCAACATTTTCTCTAGGTTAAGAGATATTGTACACAGTGTTGCACCTGATCAGAGGAAGGCAAAGCAGGAACCAGGTTCAACCATGAGCTAAGATTTTAACAGGACAGAAAGCTTCCCTGCTTTCTTTCTGAGGACTATGAAAAGGGGTGTCACCTAGCCTGCTTCCTCCTACGCTTCCAACCTCCCTACAGTATTTCTGGTTTCCAGAACTCCCCAGAGCATCTTATTTTACTGCAGCACAAGAATCCCTTGGAAGTAAACACAGAGAGCGCAGCACAGGTGAGACATGGCAAGGGAGGAATGGCCCCAAACACTGAGGCTGGGCTCAGTCTAAGACAGGGGCTCATCACAGTGGTTAACCCTGAAGTACAGTCACACTCTTAAAGAGGGCAGGAGCAACTGAAGTTATTTTAAAGGAGGAACTGAGAAAAATTATTGATTTAAGAAAAGGAAAGAGATGTTCTGAGCAGCACTGGGACAGCCAAAGAGGCCTCTTTTTAAGCCCCTTTCCTGCTGGTGTCCTGTGATCTCTCTTCATATATTTTGTTTTCCTGGAGCTGCCTTAGCTGGAAATGCTGCCTGATCTCAACTCCATTTGTGAACTGATTATGGTGGAGGGCTCTTTTATTCATAACTGTAGAAACAGACCTGATACTCAAGAAGATGGTTCACTACATTTCCAATGAGAAACAAATCAAAATACAGTACAAAACTTTCTTCTTCAGTTACATGTCACAGATCAACATGGTTTGTATCACTTAGGGGCAAGTTTGAATTTGGAAGTTATGATAAATAGTACTCAACATGACAAGTGGCCTCAACATTTCAGTTGCCAAAAAAAAAAAAAAAAAGATAATTTACACATATCTGCACAGATGCACTGAGGTTTAACTAAACTAAAATCAAGTCCTGTTTTTTAAGGCTTGTATACATTAAAGAATAACAAGTCAATGCCTGCAGTTACCCGATGGCCCATAGCATAGTAAAAATCTTTTAAAACGTACACGTACAGTTAGGAAATGATTGTACATACAGAGTATATATTAATGGGGACATGTTCATATCTGTTCTAACTATAATACTATATTAAGTTTAAAGATTCTTTAAATGATCAACCTATTAAGTATTGAAAATCTGCATAATAAAAGACTGTACCAAAGAAAACCCTGAAATTTTCCAGGGAAAGGTTTTTGGTCCTGATCTGACTTGAAGTCTGTGATGAAAAATGGAAAGAGCTCCTGACTCTCATGGAATTGTGATTCTACATCGCCCTTGGGGGGGGGGGGGGGGGCGAAACTTTTTTTTTTTTTATTAGAAAAGAGAAGGACTGGGGGGTGCAAAACCACAAGGTAATTTCTGTGTTTTGTCCTAGTTTGCTATCATGACTGACTTTAAAATGACAAATTCTTTTCCTTCTCAAAAATACTTACTGGTAAATTTTGGAAGGAAAAAAAGAAGAAAAAAAAAAAAGTGTCCCACATTGATGGGCAACAACCTTTAGTATCACTCCAATGTAAAATCTGATTTTTAAAGCTATAACAATGCAATGTTCTAAGGGAAACTGTCAGGACAGTTCAGTAAGTATCACTCTTAAATCTGATCCAGGAGGCCAAGAGTTCAGATCACTGGGTTTGGGCTTATACCCTGACCGAACAGCACAGCATGATTTTACATAAATGCAGCACTATGAACCACCTTCCTTGGAGGTAAGAAATCAAGTTTAAGTTTCTTTTTTCAATCTCTATGGTTCTACGGGGGTGGAGAAATCCATATAATGTTTCTTAAAGAGAAAGGAAGGGAAGGAAGGGAATAATTCAGGCATCCTGATCAGTTTGCCATTTCTAATTAAAGCAGAGTCTCTATAGGAGCCAATAGTCCTTATATCTGTGCTAATGATGACTTTAGTGTCAGCTTTGGTTAGGTAAAGAATAAAGGATTGAGTCTCTTAATTCGAGGTCCAATGAATGTGGATCACTTCTAGATTTATATTCATATCTTAGAGAAAGCATAAATGCAGTTATGGGGACAGAAGGGAAAAGAAGAACAGGAATCACTGAAACATGTGCAAACACATTCTGTTTTTCTTTCTGAGGATAAGGATGCAAAAGTTCTTTTATTTCTGTCTCAACACTACTAATAGTTCAGCTTTGGGCATCTCCCAAGTGACTACTTTTCCTACACTGAAAATAACAGTGTTGTTTTGAAGACTCTTAACATTTTTTAAGATACTGTACAGACATTGTGATATATACAACATGCTCTCTATTTACCATAAACACTGTTGAAAGATAGTCAGTCCTGAAACGCAATTTGCAAAGCATTCTAATACTGATACTTACCATATGGGTATTAAGCTGCTCTCTTGCTGTTTCTGGTAAGCCTCCAACAGGTTTTGATGCCAACAGCTGACGTTCAGTGTCTGTCAGCCATTGCTGCATATCTTCAACTTCACCATGGAAACCTTGGGCCTAAATCATACCATATCATTTTAGAGCTTACTTAAATGTTCTCCACTCTAATACTAGCTCAGATGCAGAAGTATACTGGCAACAAATTCAATCAGATTTTTGCAATAATGAAAGGAAAGGAAAAAAAATTTTAAAAAAGGAAAAACCCAAACCAACCCAAAATTTAAACTAGCTCAATCCAATCTAAATGATAAAAACAAAACCAAATTGAAATCTTGAAAGCAGGCTAAATGAGCAACTGTGAGATCAATGTCTTCCCTGAATAATATATCTATACAGAAATTTCACCCTTTAAAAATATGTAGGCAAAAACCTTAAGTCTTGATTCAGCACTATAAAAGACAGTGGCCAGCTGTAGAAGATACATCTGGATTCAAACTTTCTATAAATTCAGGAATGTCTGCATCATGGTTTTGATTTAGGCCAATTTCTAATACATGTATCTATGTATTTCATGTAAAAACCCTCTTTTTCTGAGTTATCTCTTTATTTGATCATTTCCTGTTCACCTGGATCAAGGCACTGTCCAGCTGCTGTTTCCTTTGTTCTGTTTTTTCCAGCACGTTTTGCCAGCGCTGATTCAGAAGTTCCAGCTTGCTCCGTAAATTACTTGCTTCTTCAACAGCACTTGATTCAATCAGGTCATTTCCTGCTTTCTTAACTGCTTCCACTGTAGACTGATGAGCTAAAACATCATTTTGTAGCACCTACAATTGTAACACAGTATGTATGACTGGCCATGTTGGTAAGTTATTGAATGAAGGCAATTACAGTGACTGAGATAGCTCTAATCCAGAGACAAGACAATAGTTTAACATCAGCACAGGTATTAGCAGTTAAAGCTAAAAACTAATGACTTTTCAATCAAAAACAGTAACAGGCAATTCAGTCAATTTCTTTTCTACATTTTCTTTTTATATCTTGGGAAAAATAATATATTCCTTCTGAATACATATATTTATTTCTGAAATTATGAAAGGTTTCTAGTACTGCTAGTGAAGAATTATTTCTTCACTTTCCTTAATTTACACATACTTTAACAGTATTTTTCTTTGTTTTTGAGGGTAAGGTGTGAAAACAGTCTTACATATACTCATGCCAACTGCTTGTGGAGCAGTAGTTTAAGGAGATGAGAGAGAGGAAGAAGAAAACTGCCGTGTCACACAACAACCTGACTACTAAGCTGTCTTTTCATGCATTTCAGGTCTACAACTCCTTTCACACTACAGGTACCGGGCTACCAAGACATTTCAGCTGTGCTAAAAGCTGGGGAATGATTGTAATACTAACACCACAAGATTTCTTCCATCTGGATGAAACCACAGTAAAACCATAAAATGCAAAAAGTACATTTGGGAAAAAAATGACATTTTCAGAATTTTTTTTTTTTTTTTAAAAAAAGAACATATTTTAAAATCCAAGAAATAAACAGAAAAAGAGAATATGCAAAATGACTGGGAAGGGAATAGTAAACCCCACCTAAGAAATTCAAGCTTATGACTGCTGTCTTCCATAGAATCTGGTTCAAACTCACCTCCTTCAAAATGCTAGCATATGGAAAAAACAGGAAGCTAAATAGAATCATAGAATGGTTTGGGTTGG